GAGGTAGAATCACTTACATGTACATGTACATGTATGCTAATTTACATGTACATGATTGTATACTTCTGTCTGTTGTATCCATAATAATACCCGAGTGTCATTCTCTTCCTTATTATGCTTAGATACACCACTAGTAGGAAAGCAGTGGATTATTTACAGCATCCTGTGACTTGTTGCCAGAGAGAGGTAGAAGCTGTAGATACATGTAGATACAGTGATCTGGTGATGTACAGCTATAATGTACATGTGCCAGGAGGACGACAGTATGCTACCATCCACATTATTCATAATCAGTGTACAATCATGTACAAATGCACATGCATACGCATGTCGAGCGACGTTTTGCTACATACATGTAGGTACACAAAAGGCAGAAGAGAATAGAGACATAGGCAATCTGGGAACTCTCGCTATTGTACATGACCATTGTACATGTAGGTAACATATCGCACAGTGCACTATCCCCTGTATCGAATAGAAACAACTGGTTGAGATTGATGGAAGAGTTAGACCTGGGAGCCAATGCTGGCCATCGCAAGTGCACAATACCGGCTATCCAGAGCACTGTGCTACTTGAACTTGGTGCCAGGCTTCCTCCACTGGTTCTAGCTCTGCACATGCAGCCTTGTCCACCTTCCATTGAACAGCGACAGCAATAGGCACATGCTGGGCACAGCTGCGGCTGAGTGACAGACTGACAAACAGAGAGTCTCCAAAACTCTTTCGACAACCATTGAAGCCGTTTAAATTTTCAAGAAGCCGTTGTAAGTAATTAGTTGCCCTTCGTCTGTGTCGTTTCTGCAAATGAAAGTGACATAACGGTTAATTAGTATGAATCATATCCCTGTCAACAGCACCAGCTACGTTTGATAGAGATTGTCCAAGCATTACATTGTACATGTATGCCCTTGAAAGTCAGTTCACCTCTCCAAGATCGTACGTTTCATCCTTGCAAGTACAGCCATGTCCTAGATCCTATGATTGTACTGAACAATTTAGCGTACCGAGTTCTCACGTAACGTGTAGCAAGTATATCTATCTCCCTTCTCCCCCTCCATGTATCGTGCCTGCATCCAGAACAATTGACTTGTTTCCAATTGAAATTTAGCAGGGAGTACCCCGAGGGAGCACTTAAAATCCTAGAGAAAGTGTTCCACATCAGTCGTGTACTGCACTACAGTATGAATAAGTTTGGGGACTAGAGAAGTCCCTCAAACAATTGGAAATTTCACGCGTGCGCAGTGCACTAATGTTGATCATCATATCCCTGTACTGACGTGGTGCCTAGCATACATGCCATATTTAGCGTAGTGCACGAACATACAGTCATGTGCATGTAAATGTATGTGAATATAATATACATGTACATGCCAATGTGATGATATCATCGTCTACATACATGTACATGTACTGCAACTACATGGATTTAAAAGTATTGTGAAATAGGCGCCCTTCATTAGAGATTAGACTACTGATTGAGGGCCTAAATAGTATCGTATACTGCGTACTGGTTTTCTTCCGTAGTGCTGATTGTAGAGGTTGGCTTATTGAAGTTCTTTTTCTTTCTTTCTTTTTCTTCTTTTTTTTTCTTCATACAATTATTCTCTTCATTTGTGTTAACATCCTTCATCTTGGCAAATTGTGTTTTTTTGAATAATAGTACTGGTGGCGTGGCGCCTTGCCTTTTCCTAGACTGTTTCCAGGGACCGGAAACTTGTCTCAACGTTTTCTTTGTACTTCCATGCTTGGCTATCGCCAATCCATCTATTGGGTAGCTCCACGTGAAAGCTTGATAATCTATGGATTTGCAACTCCAAACAATAGGCTCTACTTGCCTTTACCCATTTTGAAGGCTAAGGGTGGAGTGCTCCGGAGTCTTTTCCGGGGTGATGCACACAACTCGGATCCAGCATGCTTGTATGGTGTGTCGCGACTATGGAGAAAGATAATAGACCGTTGCTGTAAGCTTACGATGGCGATCCCAGTGACGAACAGAAGTAAAATAATTAAAATTACATAATATGAATGCGGCAAGCTGCGGCATTATACTTTCAATCAGCCGGATGTGTGAGTTTTCAGAAGAGGACGTTTTCAACTAGAACCCATCCTACTTTTGGCGTGACTCCGATGCACCTGCATTGCAGGTTCTTGGCTAACAAACCACAAGACCCTAGAGATCATTCGCTTGTGGACCTATTCGGCCATTGCGAGTACCTGGGAGGTCTTAGACGAAAATGGTCCAAAGGATTGCTACAAATACGATTACCGGTCCGTAGGGATATCACTCGCCTAGATTTGCTACCACTCGAAGCGAAATGACTTCTTTGCCCCCTAGTCCGTTTGACTAGAAAATTACCAAGAACACATCCGCATACAGCCCATGATGCAACAAGTGTGGAGAACCGACCCTCCCTTGGCCAGTTGCTTTTTTCATCCTCTCAAGTAGACTTGAAGTAGCACTCAAGCTGCTCAAAGTCAGTGAGATACGGAATGAGAAGACTGGTCTTCGAGTGATCTGAAGAGACCATCGAACTGAGCAATGCACGGCGTTCTCAGTCAGGGTGAATTATTTGAACCGGACAACTGAACATGCGGTGTACTGACACCTCGCCGTGGTCTTGTACAGAGCTGAGCAGAACCAGCAGACTGTGTCTCGTGCAGTGCTTACCCTACTTGCATACTGTGCATCGGAATTGCTATCGCAGTCGTTCAAAGAGTGCCGCAACAACAGTCCGCCTCACAGCTGGATTCAGACCTTATCATGGCAGATTATCTTCCTTACGGTTCAAGCCCTGGTTATGCCCAGCAGGTCTCACCTAATATTGTTTATAACATTTTTTTGTGGTCCTCTTTTCTTCTTACAAAAACAATCTATTCCTGTGGTATTGAACACCTCAGCATTTTATTCGGCCTGTCCCGTCAAAAGTCGGCAATTCTAAAGTTGTAGAGTTGTTCTCTTGTAATTATTATTTTAGTGGAACCTGTATTGAGTGACTGAGTTTTATGTTTCTCTACATTGTCGACAGATCTCCTGTGTACCGGTTTTGTGGCACAATGATTATAGCCATTTGTCGTCTCCATTCTTGTGCAATCATGCATATGTAGGTTGGTTCTCTTCATGTAATTGTGACCTATTTCATAGATGTTGGTTGCCTTGTTGCTTTCTCTCCCCTCTCCTCTCACCCAAGCCATTCTGCATAAGCGAAGCTTTGGACGCAGAATACTGCTGCTACACTTCAACGCGGGAATGCGTATAATTATAATGATAATATCAGACACGCGCTGACTATTCCATCAAGCAGAGAGAATTGTGCTAGACGATCGATACAACTATGTATTTACTCCAATTGCAGAAAGCTATGTCCTCTGGTCCAATCCATTTCTCTGTCGCTCGTGTCTTTACTCAAGTTAATAATATTAGCATCAAAATTAATAGAACACTTCTGTGAGGACACCCTACCGCGAGGATGATACATGGCTAAGAGCAAATGCTAGTCTTCTCCTCCATCTTGCCACCTCGAACCGGGTGATCGGGTTAGTGATCAGGAGGTGGCCGGTAGACACATTTTGCACTTCACACGCCGTTCCGGTCACAATGGACCCGGTTCGTAGATCTAGTATGATGTGATTAGCTCAGTGCAAAGGCGAGACTTTAGTAACACTGTTACCGTTTAACCATTCTCCGACGCGTGGTGATCGAATTATTTACTTACAAAGTTACATGTACATAATTATATTGGTCCAGCATGTTTGAAATGTGCATTAGTCCCACCTTGTATTGATTGCCAGGTCGTGCTGCACGTTTTCTTTTCTTATCTTTACAACGCGTCTTCAGGTTGAATGCAGTTGGAATGGGAAACAAGCACGCTAAGAATGACCTGATTGAGTTCCAAGCCCACGTTACGAATGGTGCTGTGAACGGACTCTACTTCATAATTATAATTGTACATTGTACAAGTGTTGTACATGTAAATTTACATGTATGTTTCTCGTCGAACATCATAATCTACGCATTGCAGCCTATGCACCATGCACAATGCTTTTTCTCCTAAAACAAATCATGGAAAAGAGGAACCGGAGAGTGCAAAGTCGGATTTCGCCTCGTTCTTTGCCTTTTGTCGAAAGTAAAATAAATTATGTACGTCAAGGTAGTCACACATGTTTAATGTTCTGGCGCTGAAGCAATCAATCATGAGTGACCCCTTGCAAGAGACCAAAGATTATGACGTCAATATGAACCAGTTGCCTCTCGATAATGAGAAAATCTGCATTTTCAGCACCTGATCCAGCCTGCAGTCCAGGCCAAGACACGCTTCACAACAGCCACATAAATATTGTATGCATTGCTGGACGCAGGCTTGCGCCTGATGCCTCGTGCGACTGAATGCGTGGAGACATGATTCAGTTTTCAAATCTTTTCCTTGTCATACATGTATCTTATCACCATAAAAAAATTATCCGGTCGTTCCTGGTGGAATGCACTGGGTGGACCAGCCCAGCCTCATCATTGTGATAAATAAGGCAAACAGAACAGTAAAATGCTACATAGTCATTACATGGCTGGCATGCACAATAAGTACTAAAGTGTCATGAATTATCTACTTTGGGATCCGTAATGCATGTGGACGACACTCTACAACATGACAGTGTATGCAGTTGTCCGGTTGAAGTGCTTCCCTGGATTGTGCACAGCATGTCTTGGCAGCTCAAAGGCAGATGTTTGTTTTGTTTGCCGTGCTGTAGACCTGCACACCAGTCATGTAGACTTCTAGGCTCTTGAACACACAGCAAAGGCAAAGCCGACATGTCTCCTTCAGGCGGCTGTGCAGTGTTCCCGCGCAGTGGATCTCCCGTGGCACAGGATCTCGGAAAAACGAAGATGAATAATGGTCGCCGCTTTGTCGCCAGGCTTTAATGCGGCCCATAGCACTCACTCACTGTACGGTCTCGAGTGCAGGGCATAGAGCAGGTACATAATGGTCGCCGCTTTGTCGCCAGGCTTTAATGCGGCCCATAGCACTCACTCACTGTACGGTCTCGAGTGCAGGGCATAGAGCAGGTACATGACTCATTGATGCAGCTTGTCCGGAGTGCATTCTTATCCACTCAGAGTAATTGAAGCGAGCGACAAGTGCCCCCGCAGAGGTTACTTTACTCTCAAATGCTCGGGTAGCTTGGGGCTGGAAGCAAAGCCGCACATTCGACAAACTGTAGCTCTCGCATCCGTCTGCAAATATAACCGTTTGAACTTCATCAGAGACCTCACATTCGTCGATGAACAATCTGGAAGGCAGTTCTCAGATTTTATATTGCATCCCGAATATTTCGTGGCTAGCGCCCCCAGCTGCTGAGACAATGGTTCTGACATCGCGAAGGAACAGCTCCGCAGCAAAGGTGAAGGCAGGAGAATTCAAGCGCCAAATCAGTCACCCTGTCATTATACCCGCAAGTGACGCGCAATCCTGCGTTTTACCCTTCAACTCTGCTTTCACATCAGCACAAGTATCGGTAAGTTCCAGGATCTAGTTGCTAAGCTATTGCAACCTCGACATTTTTTTCTAGAAAAAGAACGAACAGCAAATACACGGCTTATAGGCTTTCTTGAAACCCACATTTCAAACCCCGAAAGCTAAGTACCAGGTGCAAATTAGGTGAATAATCGTCGAGATTGGGGGGCAATGCTAATTGCACAAATTTGCGATCAGTTGAGTGGAGTATTCGTCTGCTGGAGTGTTTAGTAACCCCTAGTCATTGTCCAATGAACTAACTGTCTTGATGGGACCGTTTAGGTATTGGCTGTGGCACGCAATTAGAGGAAGTTCTTCAATTAATTGATCTTCTCCGTGTTAACTGTTCTTCCTGTGCAGAAATCAACCTGTTCCACCCTGCCTATGCAGAAGCAGAGGAACGCACCAAATCAGCTGTTCGAAATCAGAGCACGTTCATCAACAATGTCTGGACATCCTCATTACCACCAGCGTACAGCATCGGCAATAACCAGAGCAAGTACGACAGATGATGACAGTAGACCTTCCTCACCTGACAGTGCAATTTGGACGGACATGTCCAGCCCAGACATCGCCTACACTCGTAGCAGGGACGAGATGCAGACACCGACCAATCTCGCACAGTCAGTCAGGGCACAGCAAATCAGAGAGGTGTTTGCCGCGTCGCCAATCAACTTTAGGACGCCGACTCCGTCCAGTGGGTTAACCCCACGTTCTTCTCGCACTTTATCCATGCATCGTAGCAATCCTAACATCCACCGAATCGACACTTCAAGTCTCTGTGAGACCCCTGTACCGCCAAAACGTCGCTCATCAGTCAGCACGTCCCGCCTCAATCGCGTATCCAGCTGTCATGGTCTGAAGCGAAACGCCATTTCCACAAGCAATATGTCATCGGAAGTTCACTTCCAATGCTGGTTAGCTAGGCAACCCCACACCTGGTGCTAAACATTTCTCTGTCATAAACAATGCGCAAAGCACGGATTCAAGATAACTATCATTTCGAGCATCATGGCATGTCATATTCCCTTCAGTCCTCTATTGTGAACGCCGTGTGGTCAACGTTGAGTTTAAGTTTGCTGATAAAATTTATTTACTTCGCATGTCGTTTTGTCAACATTTGAGATGAAATTTACGATCAGAGCTGGAACGTTTCACCGATAATTAACTTTAATCAATTTTGCATTTCTTTGAAATGTTTCTAAGATCTTTGAAATGAACTATTTCACAACGACAAGACAATCAATATTAATCTATTCCCTGCCAGCAGGGTCACAGTAATCCACTCAAGTGTTCTTATGGTGTTGTGTGAATTAATTTGACCTTTGGGGCAATAGTGCAGCGTACTAGCCAGTAACAGGTCCTCGCCGGAAGGACTCCAGTTTTGCATCGTCACGTTCCTACATGTATACTACACTTACGGGGGATATTTGGTTGAAGACGTTACTTAGTTAGTGTTTCTATACCGGTAATTATGATTGTTCCAATCCTCAGAGCCACGGTGTGGTTCCTGAGTGAAGGCAGCATACGTGGAGTGTTTCTGATTCCATTGTATTTCCTGTGATGCGTGGAAACATTACTGATTAGTCGAAAGGTATGCCCGCACACCGGACACGGATGATCGGGAAGAGGTACTGGTATGCGGAGGCATTCGTTTCCTGTGTGCTGTTCCGATTGCCCCAGGATGACTGTTATGCACAATGCCGGGGTCAACATGCACATGGTATGTCAGGTCCCTGCAGAATGCAGTACTTGCTGTGCTTTTTGCTTTCAACACCAGATCGCAATTTGCCAAATTTCAACTGTTCCACTTGTCCCCGGGTATACCCGAACAGAAAAGGACTTCCGTAAAATGGCGACCTCCTCTAGAACTGTTCATGCGAACACATGTATAATATACGTTGCCGATGTAGAACAAAGTGAAAAGATTATGTTACAAACTGACATATGTTGCCTAGTGTTGGCATTTTCAGTTGTCCTGCATGAGTGGTGATGATGCACCTGCTCCAGGGTGAATTCCTCCACAGCGGGATATAGCAGACATACCTGGCATTGCCAGTGATTTGTTACTGGTTCCAGTGGCGGTGAATAGGCAGGGTTGAAGCTGTCCTCGTGTTGTGAGCGGCATTGGCATGAGAACAGAATCCGATGTAATACACGGTGTTATGCATTGATTCCTCAATGCACCGAGGTGCAAAGAGCCTGCTAAATAATATGCTCGACATATTCTAGAATGCTGTGGTTGACACGGGACATGTGCTACTGCATACGTAATGAGGCATTGTTGTTCAGACCCGAGGGTGCCAGTACATGCATGTACATGTACATGTACAAGATATGCAGTGAAGTAAGAGAGAGAGGCTGTGAGTGGCATGTGACACAGTTCAACAATCGGTCACCGCCAGTCCCCCACTCATAGAGTTGTATACTGTAACTGAAACACACCGAACATGACCACCCACTGACGAAGAATGTCTGCAGAGTTCATACCGAAGAGAGATGCAAGATTTACCAAGCCATTCTCAAGGGCACACACTTCCAAAAGTCTGAAGGTAAAATTGCTGCTACTCCTTATGCTGTCAGACTGACAAGTAGAACTTTTACTGGCTTTGTTCCTCTGACACCGTGGCAATACCACACAGACCCATAGCATAAGAAGCCCCGCACAATCAGGATGAAAAGCAGGGGAGAACGTTGAACCTGTTCCCTTGAGTACTAAACTACTGATGAGATACACATTGTCCCTGCCTATTCGTGGAATTATTCTCTCGCAAACGTTTTGATAATATGCTAGTGACTGCTCCCCGACCACTGTATGAGGATAAACGTGTATGCTGTTCTACTCTGTGGAAAACATTGTCAGGTTAGTGACGTTAGGACAAGACGACTTGCTTTCCATAAAGCCTGGTATAAGCGCCTGTTTCTATCCGCGACCTCAAGATCCTCCAAGCCAACGTCCGTAGTCCATGCAAAAAGGCCCCTGACGTGCTGCAGCCAACCGACAATGTACCTATGACACATTTAGCAACCCCCAGGGTGTTTTAACAACCACCAATAGCACCATCAGGTGTCACATTGGGATCCACAGCAATATTGCATGTTGGGCAAATCAACTGGAGTTGATTAGGCAAGGCTTTAGATATTCCTAGATCGTAGCGATCAAACCATGCATACACCTGCATTACGCGAGCTGTCTGCCCACGCTAATTCTGGACAGTGCCCGAAATATGCCCCAAGTACCACCTTGCAGCCAGATGCTTGGTGTTCGCTCACTTAGGACAGCATTCCTTGCTTAGGACATGTGCTACAACTCTCATTGACCACGCATTCATTACAACTTAAAGTAATCATTTTACTACTTCAAATCCTCAAGTACATCATGACTTTAATACGCACAGCTAGCCCTAGCCAGAGGCATTCGGCCGCATGGAAAGAATAGCACCAGGCGCTTCACAGCCTTTACAACACCAGAACTCTCCTCTCGCTCGACCGCGGAGCTCGATCCAGTACTGCTGAATAAAATCCGAACCCGTGGGTCAAGTACATGTACACGCATTCGCTTGGCACTGTGGACCCGTAGGCCTGTGAGCACTGTGATTTGAACTGGTGCATGGCGCAAAGCTTAATACTTGACTCGCTGTATCGGATTTCATTGAGCAGCTTTGTACATAATTCACGAAGTCGAATTTCTCTGCCCCAAAATGCACTACCAGTACTACTAGTACTAGTTCCATAGAGTGTACTTCGAAGTACAAGCATGCTGTAACCACATGTGCGTGACGTCATACACTGTACGTAGTGCTCGAAATGAACTGACAGTCACCTGACTTGTACCCTAATGCCGTAATGGTGCTGTTTAGTAGTGTAGATGAGAGTGAAGCGACACAAGCACTTCTCCACCACTGCACCAGTGGCAGTGCCTGGAGAGCTAATAAGGCGCGCAGGTTGCAAGATGCTGCCATCTTTTCTAGTTCATGAATGCGTCTGTGCATGGTATCAAGATTCTCTGTGCATTCGTACTTGAATTGTGTGTCCCTTGCAGACCTTGCAGACCTTCGAGACATACATATACATGTACAACGTACTAGTAGTTTACTTTGCTTGATCTAATTGTGGGATAGGCTCAGGAACACCTTGTTCAAGCTGTACCCTAAATCATAATTATGACCTTGACGATCATTTTAAACGTTTTGTGGATATGACCTTAAACGTGCATCGTCCGAGGCAATATTGTTCTTTCTCGCCTGTGCGCATGTGGCACATAATGGCATTGTGTTATTCCACTGTGAATAGGCCCATGGCATAGAACAGGGTGTGAACACATCTGCTAAGATGAATGAATGCTAACTTCAATCCAGGACAGGTTCAAAACAGGTCGATTGAAAACATGTCACTGTACATGCAAGCTGTTCTCCAACACATGCCGCCGTTTGCATTATAATAACCATACAAAGCTATCGTTATCGTATTCTCTGGCCACTGCTCTACTGTAATAAGGACTATTACTTTGGTGTCGAGTTTACTCGCGTTGTGATGTCGCATGGAAAGTCGAATGGATAGATTTGATAGAGCGGACCACGTGACAATCCGCATAGCACGTCTAAGGTGTCGTAGTGGATCGGATTCAATAACGATTTGGTCAGTAGCCGGAAGTGTTGCATTTTAATACAAATAAAAACAACGTTTAGTAGTGTAATCCGCGATATTCATGTTAAAACAAAATGGCGTCACGATTAATTGAAAGTGGTATAGTTGGTGGTACGAGTGTTCAAAACCATTTGAACTTCATACTGTTCGTCTTCTTTTTGACATGCTCTCTTTCCATCGTCCTTAGCTTTTGTTTGTTGAGAGCTGTTTTGGCTTTCTCCTATACCTCTGGGGGATGCCAAGTGATGGTTTTGAGAGGCTGGTGATGGCTGTGAGCGAGAGTTTGCCGATCGGCGTCGTCCTCGCTATAGCGATGAAAATACTAGTTACTGCGCACCTGGCAGATATCACAACACGTCGGAGCGTCCAGGAGCAAAGGAATCTTGGGTTTTCACTGGAATCTAGTTCCTCCAGCATCGTGTAGCCCACCGTCGGTGAATGGCGGTCTAGAAAGGTCGAACCTGGTCTTCTGCAGCATCTCGCAGTCCTGCGAGGCAGACTGAATAACGCCTGTCATGTATTCTACAAATAAAAATCACGAAGTAGTGGACTTTACAGTGATGAGTCTATCCTGTATGCTGCAAAAGACGCAGGAAATGTGACTGGTGTCTGTACACTCAGTGACTGGACGCCAACACCCCAGTCTTCTCCTGCAGGATCTGTTTGACATTGACATTATGCAGTAGGTCGGCATTGACCTGGTTTGGCAGCTATCGTAATAGTATCTGCCTGGTTGGATGTAGCAGGTTGGTGTTTGCTCATCGTCCAGTCCGGAATTTTCTTGTAACTCACGGTGGAGTACGCGCAGGGTTTGTGATCATCCCTGTTCACTTCAATATTATCAAACACAACGTTCCCTTTGTCACTCATCTTATCCTGAGTACTGAATTTGCTGACAATATTGCACCACACTTGTCACAACCTACCGCCACTGCTGGCGGTGGCGACTGGTTCGTCAATGGCGGTGACCAGGCTGACTGACTAGCTTCGAGACAGCGGCCTCGTTGTCAACCCCGCGGCAGCCTTAAGGTTGATTTTATCGATCCAGCCTCAGCGCCATGTTGACGATGCCCTAGTGACTGTGTGTCATGGATTGCCTTGCCATCAGCGGTCATTGCCGTCCACCTTGGTGCAGCCCTCAACAACTGGCTCAGCCCATGGGAGTCTCAAGTGGACAAAGTTGTTGCCAAAGTAGCTCAGAAGATTGGTGCATCGTGGTGTAGGTGAGCACATAACTAGGACTTCCCAGCGCCTATTTGTCCAGGCTGCGATATTATGTGACATGCTGTACTGCACATTCTTTTCAGCACTGCAAGGCCGGCAGCTGGACCGACTGCAGGGGCCGCGCACATGCAGGCCGCCTGTTGCCAGTGCAGCATTCTGGAATGTTCCTTCCTTCTGAGATCCGTGGAATAATAACTTTCTTTGGTTCAAAGCAAGTTGCTTACCTTTCTGTTGTGTTCCCAGTGTCCTTACAACAATAACCTACAGCAATGTTTTATTTTCCTTTCCATTTCCCAACCAATGAATACTACGATGTCGATTCTATTTCTGAATACTTTAGTGTGTGCCCGCGCACGCACGTGTGTGTGTGTGTGTATACCTCACTCGCCACTCAAAGTTCTGTTCCCCAT